TCGATGGGGGTGTATTGTGCTGATGGACCGACGATTTTACTTGTGTACACTATGATGCGTGCGTAAGAACAATTGCATGGATCTCACAAATTTTTTTGTCACTAGGTCATTGCATAGACCCCGTCGAAAATTTCGTCACTGTTTTTGTTAGGTGAGATTTTTTTTCCAACTGACTCGTGACATGCCTCTTTTTTGATTGTCCAGACTCAGCATTAAAAACTCATTTTTGTGAAGTCTGTCTTACTTTCTGTGAGGAGCAAATCTTATTTTTTTATGCTGCTTCTATTTTAGGGGTATCCATAATTGATTTTCCTATTTCAGTCAATCAAGCTGGAAGACAATGGCGACGGTGGGCACATGGAGGGCAGTGGCGGAGGGGAGGAAAGAGGCGAAGGTCAATCAGCTACAGGAGATGACGCGAAGAGTCAAATGACAGGTCTCGGCACCTCCGTTTCCTCCACTGCCACCACTGCCGTTAGCCCTACTTCCAATTCGGCTGCTCAGAGTATCACTGCACTGACGTCCACCGGACCTAAACGCCTCCACGTCTCCAATATTCCCTTCCGTTTTCGCGAAGCTGACCTACGACAACTCCTTGGTGTGAGCTTCCAGCTCTAATTGTTTGTCGTCTTCTTGCTTAAACACTACTGTACCTTAAGTTTAGAACGATATCCTGTTAAACCTCTATTCGTTCTATTGGGACTAATTTCCTAACTAATTAGCGGGTCCTTTTTCAATCCAAAAAATGAGACCTGGGTGCTAATCATCCCTAACATGTAGGTAACCGATTTAACGTATTTCTGCCTTAATACCTGTAACTCTCTTCAAAGATCCTGTTGCAGTTTACTTTTTATCGCTTTGGTAACTAGTCATCGTTTTCGTAAGTAGGTGAAACCTAGTGTTTACAAGCATGAAACGAGAAGTGTTTTCAAAGACACTAAATGCCTTTTAACTAAAAATAATATTTTATTTCTTTTAAATCAAAGCCTTTTGGAACCATTCTGGACGTGGAGATCATATTCAACGAGCGTGGTTCGAAGGTATGTATATTTCTAAGGTGCATTCGAATATTTTTTTACTCACTGAAGGTCTCTTTCAGCATTGCCCGAGCATCGTGTTGCAATAGCGAGGCCTGCGAGTGTAGCCAGCACATTGAATGATACCTCTCTTTACCTTTCGAGTGCCAGATGCACGAGTTAATGTGTAATCTTAATCGCAGCTTTTTGTGCATATGTTCGCTCCACTATTGAATACCCCCCCTTAACACTTCGATACTACTTCGGATTTTAGTCCAACAGTTCGCGGGAATACAGGATTTTCCGAAACGGTACATTCCATTTGGGACAGTACACATGTGTTCCAAGCTTCCGTTTTCCCCGTCCCCCCTTCTTTATCTGTGTCTTTCTATTCGGTAATCGGGGCTACCTATTAGAGATGCATACCTCCGTCCTTCCCACTTGTATGTGTCTGTGTGTATGCGTGCGTGTCGAGGCGTTTCCGTCTAATCAGAATCCAACCCTTTGTTTACTTCTCCCTTCCATTCGTTTGATTGGCTACCAGCACGAACATGCGGACGTGTGTGCGCGTGCTACATTTAAATAAATGCACGACCTATCCATCACGGTCCAGCCGGTTTGACCTCCTTTCGAATTGATGTGTTCTCCACTTCGTTCACACACAACCGCACATACTTTCATGAATCGAAACTATTCGCGAAATCACATGCACACGCATGTACCTTGAGGCTTTACCTGGGCACCAAAGTGATTTGCATGGAACTGTTCACGATGGGTTGCTTCAAGTTTAGAGTTTTCCACTTTGAATATCTTAGTGGCACAACTGCTTTATAAGTATCACAGTGTACACTGACCTCATTAACAACAAAACCATAATGTGGCTGAATATTATTCACGTTTTCTGTAGATTTGATTGAGGAACTGTAAGTATAATCACTCCTGGTGTACTGTGGAAGGTATGCGTGCTCTGCCCCCGTTTAGTCCGTCCATCTAATCTGAGCGCATGTCCATGCTTGATTGAATCGCTTCCAGTACCTCGTTCTTTTAGGCTTTTGTTTGTTATAAATCGGGTTCTCCCTGCATTTTCTTTCGAAAGTGTTATTTTCTTAACCTCCCTAGCCATGCTCAGAGCCCATTTAGAATTCCAAACCGAAAACACATTACTCTCTTACGGGAAAGCCTATGCTAAAACAAATGTCAATTTAATCATGCTCTTTCAAAACTCACTCGGTTTATAAAGTGGTTTTCTCTAATAAACACATCCATTTGCTACTTGGGGCACACGTTTTGGGAAAGTAGTTAGTCAGATTTCATCCTTTGGGTGTGGATAAAAGAGAATTTTAAAAAGGGAGTTACGTGTCTGGCATCTGCATGGTCGTGACATGCACCACTGTTGATCGACTAGACTGCACATGCATCGCAGCTATTCCGCCCTCCCGTCTCTATTATACATCTGCTTGCGCGTGCGTACGTGTGTGTGTGGGCTTGCATACACTTCCTTCCATCCGAAATGCCCAGAAAATGCCAACGCATGGACTTGGAATCCATTAGCGCATGTGCCTGCTTTTCTATATACACTGAATGCTACTGAAATTGCTGCAAGTAGCTGTTTTTACATTAATACAATGCCCACGGGAAGCGATATTGCATGAACCCTCGTGGGGTCGACCTGCAACCAAGCATGACACGCGGTACATTGCCTCGATTATATGCACCTTCGTTGATCTCTTACCTACTTTACTGTTTATTTTACTATATATCTATTGTTCCTCTATATGTTTAAAGCAGATACCACTACACAATTATCCTCCAGCATCTGTGCTAGAGAAATGGAGCAGTGAAATTGATTTGCATGCGTAAATGCAAAGCCAATCATTTAGCATCCATTGTACTATAGTCTCAAAATTAAGAATTTATCAGATGTGGACTAGCTATAAGCGGAAGAAAGGAACTAGACGTAGTACATCCTAGAGTTTAATGATCACGTAGCGACCGTTGTGATGCTGCACAAATGTTGTCCTACTCCGTCCATCACTGCTCATATGGTGATCCTGAATCTTTTTAAATTTGATAGGGCTTCGGGTTCGTGACCTTTGCTACACCTGAGGAGGCCGATAAGGCTCGAGAGAATCTTAATGGAACGGTAGTTGAGGGGCGAAAAATTGAGGTGAGTGCCCGTTTTAATCTTTATAGCTTGCTCACATTTGTGTCGTTGAAGATATTGGCTGTACAGTGATTGAAAGCATGTAAGCTTTTAAATTAGTCACAATAGGCTCAGCTCTATCTGGTCAATGCCTACTTCATCCCGTCCAAACAATTGATTTCTGCAAGAAACTGGTAGTGTATCTAAACAGACCAGAACCTACACTGATCGCATGCAAAGGCTTCGTTGAATGGAAGCAGCATGAGGCTCTGAGGCTTCGGGAATACAAGAACGTACCTAAGTGTTTATGAGTAAGAGCTTTGGAAACAGCCAGTGACCGTGGCACGCGTACTCAAGACTCTGCCCTTTGACATTTTAGCTCAAGCCATGAGATCCCTTTACACAAGGTAATCAATCAGCAAATCAGTGAAGGTAAAACAAACCATTCTGCTTGTGCAAACATGCGCCCCAAATCCATCCGATGATCGACTGGTTCTTTGCTATCCTTCAGCCCGTCTATCGACACACCCACGTACACACATTGATGTGTGGGTGCATGTGTAAATTGCGTGAATTTCTTGTGCTCAGCTGTCCCTCTCTCATTTCTGCGATTTGTGAGAAAAGCATTACACTCAGCTTAGTATCTTTGCCATCATTACATCATCTGTCCATATATAATTAGGCAGTGTTCACGCATGGATATGATGAAGGCAGTCTGGGATACTCAATGTTCCTTGCTTCGAATGATGCCTGTAGCATAACTATTGACCATTACTGAATTCGACTTGTACCGGTTGCACGAGTGTACTTATCCATACGTGCTGGGAGAATTACAGCCATTGTTCGTGAAAGTTTGCATTATGCTCCTCTTTCGAAGCAAAACCAAATAATAAATGGAACGGTTTCACGCATGTTTTGTGGCAAGGGATAGACCTACTCGTGCTATGCCTTACCATCCTGAAAACTGCCTGAGCTCTGGGATGTCAAAGTAGATTCGGTTTTGCGTATCAAGTGATGTTTCTCTGTTTGGTGATAGTGGTGTCTTCTCAGCCTCGGCTTGTGGATTGTTCCACTGAAGAAAAAATCGCCAACACCTTGTTTTTTGCCGCATTGAGAAGTGTTGTTGCTGTTAATTGCATTTTCGGTGCTAGTGGGTAACACTCATCAAATTTAGATGAAATGCACACATATCTATCCACATTCTTTCGCCGCTGGCATGCCGTAGTGAACAGCAATTCATCTCGAGACACCTTTACTGATTGTTTGACGAATAATACTGATGATGGTGGCCGTGATTTCGAATGTGCGTCACTTCTCCCCTATGTGTTCCTGTGTAATCATGTTCCTCATTTTCTGCATGCTTGCCTGATTTATTGAATTATTTGTATAGATAAACAACGCAACCGCACGTGTTATGACGAAGAAGAAGTCGGAGGCTCCAACACTGATGAAAAGTGAGTTTTGACTAGAATATCTGGTTTCTATATTCATGTTGGCCAATCAAAATGCTCCATTGTTCTCACTGGTAACTTAACATATCCAATCACAGGTAAAACATTCGTTTCTTTAATTCTTCGATTATTGGTTTTGAAACTTCAGCGGCTACGACACTGCGAGGCATACGGAATGCTCTGCCACCAGCAGTATCGAATGCCGCCGCATTGGCCGCTGCTCTGAGGGGCTGTTCTACACTGGGTGGTTTGGGTACAACTGGATTGGTGGCAGCGTCAGCCAATCCCGGGGCAGCTGTATCACCAGCGGCCAATCAGGCGCTGCTTGCAGCTGCAGCTGCTTATAACCCAACAGCAGCGCTCTATTTGGCCTCAGCCGCTGCCGCGGACCCAACGACGGCACTGCTAACCCACTATGCTGCTGCTCTTAACGGTGCAGCTGCCGCAGCCGCTGCAACAGGAACCATCCCCATGGCAATGCAGTCGCCAGCTGCTGCCCAGCCAGCTGCTCAACTGTTGGCTGCTAATCTCGTAAGTGTGGGCATATCTCCATTGTTTGTTGAGAAAATAGAAGAACAGTGTAATTGATAAGTTGTAACACTAAAACAGGAAATGGGCAGATGATTTAAGATGCTTGAAAGCGAGGTTATTTGAAATGTTTTGCTTTCCGGTTTCTGTACTTCAGCTTTTATTCGCGCTTTATTTCGACAAATAAAGTACCTTTTCAAGTCGAGTTGGTGAAGGAGCTACGCTGGCAGCCCATTTACGTAGCAGTATCACCGCTGGTATTGATCCCAGCAGCGCCTGTGATCCCGTATACGTGTTTATTTCAGTCCTGGTACGGTGCTTCGCCCGAATTAGAGCTGCAGCAGCGCCTTCAACAACAACAAGCTCAGGTGCAACAACAAGCACAAGTCCAAGTCGCTCAACAATCGGCTGCAGCCCTAGCGGCAGCTAATTTGGCCGCGGTAGGTCTTGCTGCGGGTGCGGGGGGCGCACAGGGCGCCGCAGCGGCATCGGGCGTTCCCACCTCCGTCGCAAACCCTTTCGCTGCAATGCTCCGCGCCTTCAGTGGAGCCACTTCTGCAGTTCCGCAGACCACCGCGCAGCCCATTGTGGTCAGCGCCAACGCCGCCGCCGGTGCTGCCTCCACCTCGCCGCCGTCTACTACCGCTGCGTCGAACTCCTCCGCTGCAGCGGCCACCAGCGGGAGCGCGAACAATCAGGCCACCATGGCTGCCCTGGCGGCTGCGGCCAATCAACAGTGCGTTAAATTTTGACGGTAGATTGAACGCTGTTTGGCTGGACGAATCATAGCTTTCTAATAAATTAAGTAAATTATTTTTCTTTCAGCCTTTTTAATTTGGCATTTGCAGATACATTTAGTTGTTATTTACTGTCATAAATCTGAAGTGGTCTACCAGCGTCGCTTGACTTCATCCAAGTGTCGATAAAACGTGCCTCCAGTTACCGAATGGAAAAAGGTCTGCAGGGAATTGAACAGCCCATCAATAAGACGTTCGACCTCTCCGGTAGATCAAGATGCATTTAAGTGGGCGGATTACAGTACTTAAGTAGATTTTGTGTCCCCATCGGCTTATTTTTCAACTTTGGCTTGATTAATACGGGTTATTGTGCTACTAAGCTCTGTTTAACTCGAAAATGGGGAAAATGTTGTTTTAGAGGTTTTTGATATTGTCAATTTCATAACGGAACATTTTCTCATTAGCCGAGCAAGAAATCTTACCACCTTTTACTCCACCTAACAAGAGTCCTCGTTTTCATTTTGAGCATTTAGAAATCTTCGCTTGGTGGGGTATTTCTTATCAAAATTCCCTCTACATTAAATAATAGTCACTCGTGCCTAGTGAGAAGCACAAGTACATTTCGTTTGCTTGATTACGCAATCAGAGGACAAAATAATGAGGTGAAACCAACTGTCATAATTGTAACGATGGCTACGAGTTGGATTCAGGAATCATAGATGACTTGCTTACTGCTCCGATTATAAATGTGGAGGCTCGATTCGTGGTCGAGACTTTTTCTCCAAAAAGGAGTTTTGTGGTTTCATATTTCGATGCTTAATTGAGCAGTATGTACAATCTGCCTCTCAAAATATGACATAATAATCGAGCATTAAAGATGTAAAGATTGGGTTTTCAAACTCAAGTGTATCGTTGAAAGCGGGCATGTCAAATGCCTTGTAGGAAGAGGAAATAAACATCACAAGTACAGCACTCAAGGATAACAGGAATGGATAATCTCGGTCATCAGGTGAGCATTAACAAATCTAGAAAAGGTTAACTTGAATGGGCCATAGTATGATTAGAAATCGACATACGATCCATTTTTATGGTGTAGATGTACGTGAAAAGCGATTAGGTGAGGAATCGAGTGGTGATTTTGCGTGTTCGATTGTAGGTATCTGCCAGACTTGAACGCAGTGGCAGCAGGAGTGGATCCCTACCTGAATCGACTTGCTGTGAGCTATGCAGCTCTTGGCAATGTTGCTAACGCTAACTCTCCGGGCATCTATCGGACAAATTCAAGCTACCAGCGTTTCTCACCATATTGACACGATAGGCATAGACACACACGACATGTGCAATAATATGTGGAAGCCTCATCAAGCAATGCATTTTTGTCCTTTCCTCTGATCATTACGATGTGTTCATGTTTTAGGTTTTATTTTGCTTTTTTCTCTCCCTCTCTCCCACACACAAATATTATTCATCTCCTTGTTGTACAAACGAAGCAATTCAACACAAGCCATGAGGACCAGGGGATCATCAAGTGTTGTTTTTTTATGTAACAAGCTCACCCTCTCCTCTCATTAAATTTGACGCTTTTAAGGATGCAACATGACATTAGCACCCCCGCCCTCATCCTCTCTTTTATTAATTTCGACGGCCTTATTTAATGTATTCTCCCCAGAAGTAAATATGTGACTTCTGACTTATCCTTGCTTATTCTTTTTGGTGCAGGTGGAATGATGGGTGATGGAGCGTAAACTTGTAGAACGCCGTGCAGGTGAACCAGTGCGGGAAACTTGGGGGCAAGATCGCAGGTGGGTATATCTTTAGCTTGCTATTCACACACTAATCCGTAACGATGGAGCTACTTTAAAGCAATTTCATGAATTAAGAAAATCGCCTAAAGTTGGGAAGATTACATTGTAGCCAATAAGAAATTGTACGTTGTCAGTTGAGCTGCACGCCCATTGCGGGTGAACGTAATGACTGAAGGATCAGTGACAGGGGTGACATATGTGACAGTGTGAAGGCCGAATTACAGGAGACCAAAAAAACACACGAAATGCATCAGCCCTAAAAATGTACCAGTACTGCAAGCATATTGATGGTCAAATAATTTTGTGCCGTCTATCGTAGGAGTTACGTAGCTACCGGAGGTGCTAAGGCCGTATTTTAATGGTACCTGTGTTTTGGACTTTAGGGAAAAGTTTTGCCTCTGCCCATTTCACTTTTATTCCTAAACTGTCCACCCTGTTGTGCGTGCAATTGTCGAGTGATGTTGGCCCACTACTTGGAAAAATATTGTTGAGGAATGCAAAAGTCAGTGAGTTAGTATAAATTTATAGACGACACGATTGTATCGGGTGGAAGAAGTGATAATCTCCGTGCTGCCGCTGTTTAAAACCCCAAAAATAAGCCATTTACCTCGAGGTTTTAATCGTTTTTAACTTCGGACATTTAAATCCTTCGATTCGCGACAAAATTGAACCTTCTGGAAGAAGCTGTACCTTGCAGTCTTTCCTGATTGGATAATATTCTGTGTGATGGTCCATCCTTTATCCTCAAGGTCCTTTAGAAAGCTATACAGACAGGAGACTTGCGATCACTTCTTGAAGTCCAATTGGTCCTCAAAATCACGACGGTGAAGATTTTCTCTCTGAGGTCTTTGTCCACTTTCGCCCCATTTGGGTTCTCAGGAATCCCACCGGTCGGTCACTTCAGTGAGGTTAGAAACCTAGCATCTTTCATATCAATTAGCAAGGTAGGTGCAATCATTGTAGATCCGCCGAAAGCAGTAGCTGAAGCTGATGGAGAAGGCTTCCATTCCATTCGATATTTGCACCCTTGACGAATGTCACCGCTGATAGCCTAGTAAATTGTCACTGTTATCCGAAAATGAACTCATGTATGATCCATGGTTTAGACAGCATGAAGATCTGTCTAAGGTTTGTCTCCTGCTTGGCAAAGTGCGGCCAGCAGACATTGGTCTGCATTGCAATCGGATACTTCCGCCGAACCCACAAGACTACACATTTGACGAGACAGTAAACACTTTGGTGACGGATGATTGCCTTTCAGACGACCACTTCAAGCTGCTCATCTGCATCTGTAGCCTCCAATTGCCTAAGTTTGCAGATATTCTAGTTAGTTAGCTAAATCGACTGCAAAAGAATTTAAATCTTAGGCTTACAACATGCTGGCGAGTCGCCAGAAGTACATTAGCGTCCGAATTAATAGCTGACTAGTGCGGTTACAGTTAAACAATACCTCAGGTGCCATTATTTCGGAGAAGAGATGGAAACGATTCATCAAATCACTGGTTAATCAAACCGTTCTACCCAGCGGACTGGTGGAGCAGTCTGTCGGTACATTTGAGCGGGTACTAACGAAGTCATGACGGGATAGGGCGGCTGCCGACATCGTGCAGGAGGTCTTATTTATTTACCAAATGATTGCATTTAGAACCATCAACCAATGTATGAGGCGCTAATGTGACACAAAGGACTGTCCCGAAGAGATTTCACCGGTGATCTCATCGCAATTTGAAACAAGCACTGGCATTTACACCCGCGGCTGTTGCAAAAAAAACATGAAAGTAGAAAGTCAAAATACTCATCTGACCTCAGAATCGGTGAAGAAACCTAGATGAGACACTGAAGCACCCACGACTGCGGCAGCTCGATGTAGCACTCTATGGAATAATATGCTGGTGGACTTCCCCCAAATGCCCCATCTACCCGTGTATCTCACTCCACAGACTCATCTTTGATTGACTCGTTCTGTTTGCCGAGAAGACGAACCATTGGAAGCATACGTAGGGAACCATAATGCCGGATAAATCCTAAAAGAGACTAACGCTTTTTGGAAGGAAAGTTCATGAGACATTTACAACCTCAGAAAAAGCCTCCAACTCAAGATTTTAAACGCTTAAATTTTTCTATTCGCCCTATGCCAGAAAATTTTAGGTGCTGTACTCTGCGCTCTTTCCTGATTGGTCAATATTTTGAGATGATGTATGTAGCTTGCTCATTTATCCTTTGTCCTAAAAATTACATGTGAAGGTATAGATGCAGGAGGGCTTTTACCTTCCTTTATGCTCTAGGCAGCATTCCATGCCAATTACTCTGAAGTCTTCGCCTTACGTGCCTTCAGTTGGTATCATATTTTAGTTACCAGAGGGCATTACCCCTCATTGTTCACACTCCTACGCATGTTTCTCACATCATTCAGAAGCGCATTGTCATTCCCTGATGCATGGACGGGATCCATTTGCTTCCATTAGCTTCCAACAAGGCATTCCCATTCTAACTAATGTAGGTGTTAACGAGTTTTTGCCCCATTCGTGCAAAAAGTGTTACTCTTGGCACAGGGATCTCCAGTTATTTTAATAAAGAATTCCCAATTCTTTATAGTCACGAATAGGGGATCTCTCTCTCTCATCCGAATCACATTCTACATTTAAACAAGTTAACTCTGGGTGGCACAGTGTTCTGCTACCACACCTTATCCAAAAACAAGACAACAAAGTAGGCAAGGGGCCGGTTTCTACAGTTACATAATCCAGTTAAGCTTGGTTTTTAAAGTGGACAAGCTCAAATAAGAGTGAGTTTAAAATAAGAGGATGGTATAAGAAAGCAGAATAAAGGTTACCGTGCCAGTAGGCTGAATCATCGCGGCGACCCTAACCGGGAACAACACCAACTTTGTTCGACACCTGATACGAAAAGGAAATGGTTTTGGAATGTATTTATGACTGAGCGGACCTTCTTAGCCTCCCCCAACTCAGTCACCCATGCTACTAGTTCTCTCACTCTTCTGCAGAAAAAATAGCAAAACTATCATCAGACCTTATTGGCTCCTAACGGGAGATACGTCCAATAAAGGAATTAAGCTGAAATGTAAGATACCACTGGTTTTACCTAGCTTATGGCAGTTATTCTTGTATTTTGGTGAAATTGGCATAATGCAGTGCTCCTTAAACTCATCTGGGGTGAAGTCCGCATAATATACTGTTGAAGGGATCACTAGGCCTAAATACAAACCAAAGAAGAAATTTATCGGCGCAGGATTCGTAAAATGAAGGTAAAAATGGTTTTGAAGTGCCAATAATAGCAATGATAGCTTGTGGAGGAATACTGTTGAGTTTCGGTTTTGTCTTAATCATTTGGACGTACTTGTTTGTGCATTTTCTTCGTTATGTGTAGCGCCTAGAGTCATCAATGAAGTCGTAATAATTCATACCAACATGGGAGAACAGTGTAGCCCCGGTGAGTAGAAGAGCAGGCATATTCTGGACATAGCCAGAGAGCTATTTCGCTGAGACGCAAGTTCAAGCTACCCAGGCTGAGGTCCACGTAAGTAAGGATACATTTGAAGAAGTGTAATCCTCCTCAGCCACAATGAGTAGCCCTGGGTGATGTACTAAAGACGATATGATGAATATGTACCGTTGGGAGGATAAGACCTGTTTAAAGTAGTATATCGTGTGGATCTAATCGAGATTTTTTTGAATACTATGTCTTCAATAAAGCGAGCTGTATTGAAAAAAAAGGCTTCGTCTCAAAGAGGCAACGATATTCTACATCAACGTTATGCTGCATTAAAACAGGGAGAACCACGTTAGCAGGTCTTGTTTCTTCTGAACTTATTCGAAGCCAATTGCTAGCAATGAGTGGTAAGGTTTGGGCATTTTATAGAGGTCGGTATTGTTCCAATCGTTCACCCATCCACAGTACATATTTTCTTTCTGTGATGCTCTTATTTGATAATCAACCGATAAAATCAGGATCGCTAGTTCACTGCTTCCACTAATGCGGTACCTTGAGGCCTCTCCGAAACCATAAAAAGGCTTATCGGTGCAGAAGAACGGTTTATTAATAGCACACGAAAGGGTTAGAACGTTATGAGTGAGCCCAGTCGAAACAATCAAGCAAACCCAAAATTGGTACAGAAGAAGGGATAAGCTTTTGGCAGCCAAACCTTCAGAGGAGGTACTAATTCCACATCCATTATTGGAAATTAACTTAATCTTGCAATTTTTAAGAAGGTAACCAACAGACGAGCCGACATCAAGTTGGGCAATTTCAAATAGTTTATCGTGGAGATATGCATTGTAAATGAACTCTTTGTGGAGCCTCGTCCAACTGTGCGGAACACCAGATATGTAAGCCTATGCAATGCAGATCGCAGTCTTCCAGCCCTTCTGTGCTTTGATAATAAACTATTCTTCAACGCTGTTGTACCTTCAGGAATTCTACGCAGTGCTACATACAGATGGATATCAAGTGAAAAAATCTCATCACTTAGACACAATAAACTACTACATGCGGCACCTTTTTTTGAAAACGAAAGATCGAAAAGCCTTTTCTTGGCATGTGGGAGAAAATGTAGAAGGAACTTACGAAGGATTACAGTGCCGAAATGAATTATGCTAGGCTGACAGGCGAAACTTGAGGCCTACTTTGAGGTCATACAACATTGCCGTTTGGAATTACAGGTAGGCAGTACCTTAGGGGATAACTCACAATCAGAATAAGCCAAAACGAATACAGCGCTTCACCCCCAAACCAAATGCCGACAAGTCGCTTCTCCGACTACCAGCGTCGGCCGACATGCCCGAAGACTCCAGACAACAGAGGTCAAGTCGAAATCAATTTGTTGCGTTTAAGAGTAATCGGAGGACCCACAGGCTCAAGCCCAGAAGGCACAAACCCCATGACCCGGCTAGGTCGGAGAATAGCCACCGTAGATGCCACCCAGATAGAATGATTTCGCCAATCCAGATCAGAGTCGAAAGAGGACCAACTCCAACAATTTCGAAGGTGGAAAGCCTACAATCACGAATAACCACTCGGTAAAGGGAAACTCGGCAGCCACCCAATGGCCACTCAGCAATGTAGAGTGCAGCACCCAAACAGCACCAAGTGCGGAAAGCGCCTCAGGAGATTCCACCTTCTGGTTCGATCTACTACGAGCCCGAGTGCCAGCCCACCCACTTTGAAACTACCACATAGACCAAAAACATAAGTAGGTATTAAACATTGCAAGACAGGTCTTGTATTTTTTATACCAAATTTAATTGGAAAAATGCGTGTCGACGGGATGGGCATATGTACAGTAGACCAAAGCAGATGCGTGCCGGATTGTCTAAAAGAAAATGGCTTTGGTAAGATCCAGTATTGAAAAACCATCGTAACAACTAAGACTTACTTTCAATCACTCGAATCCGATGATGACGATGATGATGTCGAGGCTTGACGTGGTCGTTTCTTCGGTGGTCTTAATAAAGTGAATGGGCAAAGCTAAGCAAATATATGGCCAAGGCAAAAGCCCAATTCAGGCTTATTTTTTTACTTTCTGGTTCTTTGCAAAAACGATACGAATCAGTAAGAATAAAGTCGTTATCCAAACATTAAAAAGGGGGAAAAGAAGCACATGCTACTGCAAAACTTACGAGACACCCCTGTCCTCCTCATCAACATTCAGTTTCTTTTTTATTCTAAATGGAAGAATGTTGTAAAGGAGACTGTGAAAGCAACTTACGCATCTTCCTTCTCCTCAACTTCATTTTTATCACCCTTTTGGTTTTGCATGGCGCGCTCTAGTTTGCGTCGAGCGGCAACAGGACCAAGTCCCCATTGACGAGGATAAAGATCCCGATCCATAATCACGCGCTTAAGTTTGGCAACAGGACCATGATCACACGTCGCTATCGCGGCAGTGACCACGTTAGAAATAGCTAATGCAGAAAGGAAGCAACTCGTCAGTGTTAAGCCGAGCTAAGACTCGAGATGCTTTCCACAAGGCTGAAACAAAAAAACGTACCAAGAGCAATGGCTTCACCTTTGGTAGAAATGAGAACTATCTCGTCATCCTTATTAATGTTATTGTCATAACGGAGAATGCCAGGGAGCATAAGTTTCGCACCGTAACAGAGGGCACTGACGGTTGAATCCTTCACCATGATACGCTTGTGACCGATAAGTAACTTTTCCAAGGGCATGATAACACGACGCAAATAGTCTTCACTATTGTAGTTTTCGTGGACCCATTTAGCGTCAAGAACGTCATGCATTGTAACCATATTGTCTTCTTCAGTGAGGATCCCCGAACGAATTCGGCGCAGTTCCTCCATGACGCCACCACAACCAAGCATGAGACCAATATGAACACAGTATGTCCGAACATAGGTGCCAGCTTCGCAATCAAGTCGGATGACTCCCAGACGCTTCGATGGATCGTATTCCAGCAAATCGCTGCGGAATATTGTCCGAATGCGTAGCTGTCTCTTGACAGCAGAGACGGCCGGTGGACGTTGAAAAAGAGCACCTTTTAGTATTTCACAAACTTGCTGAACACGCTTAATACTCGGCACACATTCATGAAGGCGAAATATCGCGATATAAACTTTGCCTGCATTCTGCTGCGATTTAACCAAACGAGTGGACCTGTCGATACAAACAATGAGACAACCAGTGACTTTGGGATCCAGAGTGCCACTGTGGCCTGTCTTTTCCACTTTCAAGGCACGCTTCACCCACGCAACAACTTCGTGTGAAGATGGATTAGATGGTTTATCCAAGTTTATAACACCATGTCTATCGAAATGATATACCATTAATAGAGCTTACTTTATGTGTTCATCAAGTGGCCGATTCAAAGGCGAATAGCCACGTTCACTAGGCTCAAAATGACAATCTCGGACATTCATTAGATGCACATTCTAAATCTCCATGCTGCGAAAAGACTGTGGTTACCTTAAGCAGGAGTGGCCAATTTGATGTATCTAATTTCGGAGTTGTGTCTTCAGACTGAACAACAAACCCCTCCTGCTGAGTTTTCGACTAGTATGGATGAATTATACTAAATCTAACAAACCTCTTCAACACTTTCCTTCTTCTTTTTCTCCTTGTGTGACTTCCCCATGGTTATGGCGTGCTCAAACCTTCATAAAAATGCAAACGATCACGGCTCATTAAAATTATGGTCCATTAAAATTGATGGGCGAGATACTGTGATGCCAGAAAAAAATAATAAATATTTTTGCTACAAACGGTGTTTACAAAGCGTGGGAGGTGCAAGTGCACAGATTACAAAGAGATCAGATTCTGAGTGAACTCTTTATTACCCAAAGCCAGCTTACCGATTTCCCAACCTAGAACAAATGGGACCTAAAACGTTAAAACTTTGTTTTTTTCCTGACTAAAAAGGACGTTCAAAGTCAGATACGCTAATCATATGTTTATATCCATGGTCTGTCGAAGGCATCTATGCGCAAATTAGAATTTTGTATTTAAATATAAACGTAATACGTCACCGGATAGTGACGAACGCTTTTAAGGTTTTTTGGTATAAAACTAGTTTAGCCCGAATTAGACTTAGGAATCTCATTGTGGCACACTCCCCTTTTACCTCCTCTTCTCTGGCCTTCATACCACTTGGATGAAGAAAATGGTTTTAATGGGCCATTTTTGCCAGTTCGAATTACCAAGGATATGCACAGGTTTTGTAAAACCAGGAGACCAAACCGTGCTCTACTTCGGAGGATTCTACGCAACCCTCTATCATGAGGTTCAAGTCGACTGCCTGCCTACCCTCTATAAGGACTATTCAAACAACGTAAACATTACACTGATGCTTATGACTGCCGCCTCGGTACCTAAAAGCACGTGTGGTCCCCCCAGAGGATCAAGTGCGCATTTCCCGACATTGGGGTAGCGAGTTGCGTGCGTAATTTCACGAGGAAGGTGCGCCTTCGTCCCAGCACCCCCTTGAACACAATGTCCTCTAGTAGAGATGAATACGATCAACCAGGGATGCTTCAGGTTGTCGATGCACCGATTGCCGGAAGCCACCCACCGTAGCGATATCGGAAAGCATTTTCTTCAACAGCCATTAGTACATCATTTAAAAAATGCTGAAAAATACCCATATAATGACAACAAGAACATAATGTAGGGAAACAACGTCACAGATCTATTTGTCGGCTGCTTGTAATGTATCATGGATTATCTGTACGTCTCGGCAAAGTTTTTGCGACCACGTCTCAGCGTCTCCAAGCTCCTTCAAGGCGGAGTTGATGTCAAGAATCTCCTTATTCCACAGATCAACTTGACAATTAAACGTCTGGATGTTGGAGCAAAGTCTCTTCACCTCAGTGTCCAGACGGCATTGGTTATCATAAGCCTACAGAGAAAGCATAAACAATTAAAATACCATAGGATTCTTATTAATAACAATGATCTCAATACATAGCACTAAAGTAAACTGATACCTTTTCGAACTTACAGCCACAAGGACTCCTTAGCCTCTGCAGGTTGGATGCTAATAACAAACCAATCTTCAATTTTGTAGGCCTTATTATGACTACAGACAGGGCTCAAGAGCTTCATTAGTGGTATTGGTGAGCAAACCTGATTCAAATGAAGGGAAATTGAAATTTTGCTGGATATCTATCCAATCCGAACGTTACAAGAGGATATGCGCTGTTGATGGCTGAATTTGCCAGGGCGCACTACAGAAGGATTATATGGACAATACCTACCTTTTACCAAATCACAAATGCCGAGCTATTCAAAACGACCACTAATGGAGTGAGATCAGATAGCCACCAATTAAAATCCACCTCAAAGAAATGCTTATCACGTCCCCGACGTTTTCTCCTGTCGCTTTAAGTAAATGCTACTGTGAAAAGTGATGTATACACACTAGGTTCGCGATGGAGGATCGCCCAACCTCTAGTACATTCTCCGAAGTAAAATAGCCCCGTATACAGTCCTCCCTACAACAATGTACTACCTCCAGGAGGTATCCTTCTTCCAATGATGCGAATTCGTCGTCTTGCCTTCGATACCATCGCGTGGTTAGTAGCGGATTCACAAACCTCGTCACAGTCAAAGCGGCGATGTGAATACCGGCAGCACCAAAGAGGGGGAACCTATGCAATGAATCCACATCTTTTTAACTGTTTACCTATCTGCGTTGGCTACTAAGCATTCGCAGGTTGCAGTTTCATTTTGGCAAAATGGCCCTTCAGTTAAGCCCAGAGCCTTCCAGCTATTCTGTGCGCTAACAAAACCTTCCTCTACATTGACTTATTACGGCTTCGGAACCGAGTAGAAGCTGATTTGGATACTTAGTATGACAAATGAACGCCTAACACGCTAGTAGATGACTGGAGAAGTTCCGTTGCGAAAGAAGACTGAAACGAGTAAAACTTGGGGCATGAGTAGATGAGTGGCAACTGGATTTGATCAATGCTTGTATTTCGGCAAAACTCAAAAAAGATTGACAGCTGGGCATTCCGCTTTTCTATTTACACTTTGTCGTAACGAAATGATGAACTACGACGAATCCTTGCGAAAAATAGTACGCGTTTGAAATAAGCCTATTCGTTAGTACAATTTAAATGGCAATGGGTAACGTCAAACTTACAATCTGTGCAAGGATTCCATACCTTCGAAATTTTCTCATTGAGATTCAGACTGAGTTGAGAGGTAAGTTCCAAGACCGAATCAAGAACCTGAAGTTCATAAGTCTCCAAATCAGCCTGCTTTTGCTGAACTCTCCTCTGGTGCTCATTTGCAAGATCTCGCAGTGCATTCGCATCGAAATCACCGGATCCAGGCTCGGCCTTGATAGGCAGAAAAAACTATTTCCTGTGGTATTAATTGAATAGACAAACAAAAACGAAGCATACAAGATTACAATTGGATTGAGTGAGATAATTTATTAATGTAGAATCAGAAAATAGCATTATCATCACCGCAATTAGCAGTGAGAGGGATGTAGCGGGAGAGGACAGCCATTGCAGCATCCGGAGGGAGACGGCGGATGCCTAGTTCGACGAGAGATCCAAGAACAGCCGAGGAGGTGTTTGTGCTGAGCAGAGACTGCTTCAACAAGTGAATAGATCCAGGAGGGAGGCTGAGCAAACGGCAGGCATCGAAGCATTCGGCTAGGAGGTCGTCAACTACCAGGAGGTTGGAATAAGGCATTAGAAGGGTACGGAGACAGTGGTTTAGGTCGTAGTGGAGTTGGCTTGCTCCTACAGGGGTGAAGTGATTCTCCAGCACCAGCTAGAGGAGAAAAGTAACCGAATCATAGGAATGTCGACGAAATTAGGAAAGTCATTTTATTCACATTTCAAACAACCGGAAGTGAGCTCGGGTTTTCTCCCAATTTTGATTGGCTAACACAACTTCAAGTAAAATGAAATCGGAAACGCACCTTATTGTAAAAGAGTTGATTAATTTTCCGCAGAATGGGTTGCCAGAGCGTGGTGAAGAGATGCGGTAGAAGGGTCTTGGCAGTGGCTGAAAGGTCACAATTGAGCCGGACGAACATCTCTGCTGTGTGGCCAGACAGACTGGTGGCCGACGGTGGTGGAGTGTTGGTGGCCGAAAGCGTCTCATAGCCGTCCACTCGCGACCACTGCTGACTGTCGCTGAGATAGGCCTGCGCCAGTTCTCGCAGGCGTTTGAAGAGGCTCTGTCCCACTCGTTGTAGACTCTCCTCTATTCGACGCCCATAGAGTTCGGAAATCTGGATGGAACAAAGTGCTGTTAGTTCCCAAGCCCAGTGTTTGGCTATACGAGTTTTCTAGCCTCACGGGATTCGGTCTTAACCCTGATCATACCAATTTAGGCCAGTAGTATTCAATCCACCAACCCACAAAACTTATAACATTGTCAGGAATAACTCAAACACTATAACGGGGTCGATTGCAACAACATTCCGGTATTATTTAAGGATGGCGCCTATTAAACCCGCGTCATCCTTTGGCAACTATTCCAATCTTGAGTTCCGCACACCGGGCAGTACTAGAGTCAGATTGAGCTTGAATGAATGGGCATCGTTCATAGAGAACTCATAATCTGAAAAATCGAGACTTCTAGAAGAGCAGTATAAATAAAATGGAAATAAATAAAGTGGGAAGTGAGTCTTTAAATAGATTTTGCCGTTAGATAGATATTCATATGAAAAGCGATCACCACGCGTGGTGTGCACGATGTGGAACATGGTCAAGCCTTAAACGACACTTGCAAACTATACATATTGTGATTTGCCAACAGAAGGGATGACAAATGTAGGCTGTCACTTGGGTAACCATTCAATAAAGACAAACCGACAAGATGCTTTGGAAAAAATTATGGATAAATATTACTGACATTGACACCTTCGTGTCTGGGACATATACTTAAACTGACAGGGATCCCAAATAGGAATCAATTGCAGATGAAGAGGATGTTATTAGGGATTAGGTTACTCTGAAGTGTTATAAAACAATAATTGCCCTAGTCTCATCAACATGAAGAGGGGAAGATCGTAAAAGTTGCAATAAGTCGAAAGAAAATAGGATGGAAGCAAACTTTCTTAAAAGATTATAAGACTGAGACCGAAATTTTACATCTAATAATGGCACGATCTGGGGAATAAGAGGTATAAGGTCAATAAAGACCCACCTCAGAGAAGACGCCGGGACACTGTATTCGACGTCGCACGACAGCTGTCGTTTTGGCAACTCCAGATGAATTTATTTCGGTCAAAGCAGCTCCTAGACGATGTGTGATGGTTTTCCAGCCATTCCTCTCCTCATTGCCAGGCTGTTTCCCATAGAAAAAAACATGGGGAACAATTAGCATTCGACTATCCATGCTTGCTAAGATAACTTGATTTTAAGGAATTCACGACTTCACAGACCCCCTTAATATTACACAGTCTAATCTTTTCACTGGTAGCATAAAGCCATATTCACGTTCCACAAGTTGCCGGACTTCCCACTCCTCTACATACTCACAGTTCGAAAAATACTATGATTGCCAAAGTAGACGAGTAGGTACCAACAACACTGAGGGCAAAGTTTGAAATAAGATAGACTATTTATCAGATAATGTAGCAGCACGGAACCTGTCCTAAATGTACAACCAACTGTGGGGAATCCTCAGTTTCGATTTCGCCTTTGGAGGTAAAGCGTTCTGGCCAATCGTATAGCCAGCCTTCAGTCCCTTTCTGTATGCCAATAATCCATCCCCCATTCTGACAGTTTACTGCGCCTCCGGGAATGACTCCAGGCACAGTAATGGTAGTGTAGTGCGAATCTTTTTGAACATAATTTGTTCTCCACGCTCCGATCATGTCACATGGGCTACTAGTCGCTTAGCTCGCCTGCACACTATTAATGACAGGTAACTCCTTCAAGGGTAGATCGAGTGTATTGGGAAGCATTCAGTTCAAGTAGGTCAAAAAGAAACAGGCATTCAATTTTTCGAGTTATAACCTATGTGAAATTGGACTAATGGAGCAAACTATGTCAAACCATCGTTTTGAAGAGATTTTCCAGGCGGCTTAATAGGTGAATACCTACTTGATGAGAGATTTTATGCACTGAAATATACAAAAAAAGTAGTAGATAACTCGGAAGGGCGTGTTTAAGAGCAAAGGTAACCCAACTGCAACAAATAAGTAATGGCACACGGGACTGAATGAATGTATGGTAAAAAAAGTCCTCGTCAAAAACGATAGAGAATAAAAACAACCTCTGATACCTCCACCTCTTCGTCCATCCAGGGATCCCAAGCACAGGTGAGAAGTCGACGGGACTCCTGATCTTCCCAAAGCTCCACAAAGTACTGGAACAAAACAAATCACTGGATAAAATATTCGCATTCATTTGAAAAATTGGAACTCTATACAGCAGAAATAACTGCATTCAACAGCTTGTACTAGTGAATCCCACAGGTTTTCTACAGAAGGGATTTCTCAACAACCCTACCCACAGTTTCACCATAGACACAGCCCTTACATCCATCATCGGGCAGACATTTTGAGTCTCCCAAGATTCGACCTACACGATGGTAGTATGGGGTCACGCTCGTGCCGCCTACGCTTTCGGTTCCCCAGATCCACAATGTGCTGATAATAAATTTCGTAACAAACTCAGGAATGGTTCGGTTGCTACAACAGTGGTAACAGATTGAGATGTGGAATAAATGATAACCTTTGTGACGAATACATGTTTCTAGTTACACTGTTTTAGTAAAGGCTTGCGTCTAAGTGGATTAACATGTCAAAATTTTACGGAAAGGTAAAGTAATTAAGGGATTAATCTGGGGGAAATACACAAAAAATGGATCAGGAAATGATATAAGCTGTTTGGCAACTGTTTACAATTTTAGGTTAATATCATTCATGATAAGTAAACATGCTCTCCATCAATGTCACACAAATGTGACGTCCTGATTTTCTCATCCGAGCCACGAGTCACAAATATGACATTAGTTCTATATTGGTTGCATTAAACCTTACCATAAACAGGTTAGCTGAGTTTAAAGCGATAACGTAGATATAGAATAACCTTAGTCGGAGACTATGCATTCGTGTTCAAAATAGAAGACTGTCTACACTCAGGTATTATATCTCGAGCAAATCTTTGCCGTTGCGGTCTGCTAACATGGAACACCACCCTAAATCCACGAAACATATTAGTGAACAACTTTGGGTGATATTCATCAATGCAGCTGTGGTGCTAAATTGAAAAACTAATCATTGCGGGCGCCAAGGGCGATGTTTAAAAGAGCCAAGTAATTGACCTGGTCATTGGTCCACTCCTGCGTGGTCTCCAGCACTGTCTGCAAGGCGTTGAGAATAGACGTCCAACGGGTTAGGCAGTCGCGAGACTCGTCGTCTACCCCTTCGAGAGCAGTAGAAGTGGTACCAGTCGTGGTGTTCCACGGCAGGGCAGTAATCATCGCTTCGAGAAAGGTGAAGATGAGGTCAAGTTGGACCTTGAAAAAGAAGACCCGCGATTTGGCAGCATTGTGATGCAGATGGACGGCGCGGCGAGAGATGGAGTAGACAAGAGTCACAAAATCGCCCACGCATTGAGGCACTCTGCAGAAGGGAAGATACAGAATAGAAGCCTATGAACGGTGTTACGGTTCGAAGTGCAAGAGTTGAGAATCATGAAGTTGTTCACGCAGCCACCTTGATTTCTTGTCTTCAGTTCTTTCTGATGAACTGAATGATTATATTGTGAAGTAGGCAAGTAAATTAAGCTAGCTCTGCAATTGGCATACGACTCAGGAACTCATATACGATAGTGTTATTGGGGGATATTTCCGAT